CCGCCCGTTCTTTGCCTTCAATTTGGTAGAGAGCCAACAAGAGCAAGTTCCTGTAAAAAAGCTATTGGCAATGAACTATCAGAAATCCCTGGACCGGTAGCAGCCTTCTCCTTTTTAATGTCTTATTTCTCTTTCTTTGTCAAGCATCTGTTATCAGAAATGGAGCCTGTGAGCTAGCAATTGGAGTGGCAGGAGGGACTGAGAATAAAGGAGGGGGGGTGGGGTGGGGTGGGGAGTGGGAACCCAGGACAGGAAAGTCAGCTCTGGAATGTTCAAATCTGATTGAATCCCTTCAGAGAGAGAGAGAGAGAGAGAGTGTGTGTGTGTTTCAACTTGTCTGTGAACCATATGAAATTCAAAACAGAAACTTCCATTTTTAGAGCTTGAAATCTTTTCATGTTCCGACACACACACACACACCCCGAGGCAGCCAAGGCCACAGGATGTCACAAGAAACGTAAGTGTCTCATTGAGCCTGAAAAGGCAGTGACACAAATTCGCTCTAACAAAATGCTCAGCTGGGTCCCAGCCTACCACCGGGCCCTCCCTCCCACTCCTTGGTTTCACTGCAATGCAGGAAGAGACACACACTCTGTTTCCTACTCAGGTTTTAGTAATTAAAACAATATTGTAGCTCTGTGAAATTTTATTTGGGAATATGCTGTACTTTGTTCCCTACAATGCTGACTGCCGCACACAGCCTTTTTGGCTCGTTCGGCATCTTCTTTATCGGAAGGGAAGGAAGCCCTTCTCCCCGGGGTTGGGTGGGTTTTTTTTGTTTGGTTTGGTTTTTTCTTTTTTCCTCTGTATCGCAATAGAGGAGTGAGAAAATGAAAGGCCCCCTAACAAAGGATTGAGCTGTGACTTCTTAAGAGAAAAGGTTAAATCGCCCGGCTGTGTGTCTTGGAGTGAGACAGCAAGAAGGGCCGCTTCCCTTTTTACTCGGTTAGAATAACTCATTTCCTAACGCAGCCTACCTGTGACAGTCACAGGTGACCTCCCAGCCTGCTAAGCTCGGATGATTTCCCTTTCCCGTTGTCCAAGTACAGCTCCTGCCAGAAGACAAATATACTGCAAGCCGGAGACGTATCTGTAGTGCTGAGGAAAAGGAGCCTGTCTACATATGTCATTTTAAAGCCTCGCGTGGAGATTTTACTGCTTTCTTCACACTCTCACACTTACATAAATACACCCACACAGTACAGGCAAGTCCCCGAGACTCCCGAGCGTTTCTCTTCCATTAGGAGACATTTTAAGACAAATTAGCACCCTCCCCCAAAGCCTATTGGCCTAAATGTGTTTATGACTTTGTTTGCTGTTTTAAAAGCTCTTCCTAAAGGCTTCACAATGAGGCTGGGGAGTTCCTGCCGAATGGAGCACAACCCTGGTGTGTGGAGGAATACACACATCTGACAAAGACCTAAATCTTTCTTCTTCTTCTTTTTTCTTCTTTTTTTTCCTCCTGACACAGCGGCTGGTGACACATAAATGTACTTTTTTCTTTTGACAGAGTAATAAAAATCTCATTATCTCTGAATAGGCAGCAATTTCGTTATCTAATCTTTTTACCGAAAGGTTAGTTAATTAATCAGAAACAAATCCTGATTATTATTTCAATAGAATTAGAAAGACAAATCACCAGAGTACCGCTAAATAGGGCGGGCCTGCGGTTTCACCTGCCTCATTGACATGCAGGCCCCGGGACTGTCAGGGCTCCGGGAAGCAGACAGCCTTCGGAACAGTAGCCAGCAGATGGCTGCTCTGAGCGGCCAGCCTGCCTCCCCCCTAATGCCGATGATCCCATTACCTCACTGAATCCGTTACCAGGGTAACTGTTAAATTGCTGTGAAAGGCATGGTAATAAAGTAACCTGTCACACTGGCAATAAAAGGAGCAGAATTTTCCTGTTCACTGAACTTTGCAGCTCATCAATACTCACTTGATGGAGAAATTCACCACTACTCCAGGGTCCGCTGCAGGAATCTTTCCATAAGGCTTCTGAAATGCAAACGAAAGTTCATGTAAACACAAGAAAGATATAATTAAAAGCTGGATTCTTAGCTGCACAGAGCCCACGCTTCCCTCTTTTCTGTGCAAGGTAATGGAAGCCTGAAGAACATCAGATCGCTTTCTTTGTTGTTGTTTTTTTAATTTAAAGCATGCTAGACAAAAATAACCTTTGCTGGTGAAAGACAGCTGTGATTAATTCAAGACTGGGAAAACAAAGCACAAAGAAAAAAAAATCCCTTGTTCCTAAAATCTGTCTTTTTCAGATCCTATCTTATTAGCTGTTTTCATTAAAGGGTCATGGTACTTAAAAAATGATTTGGATTTGAGCATTTAACAGTAAGAATGGAAAGCCTCGGTCCTAACAAGCGTGAGGAGTTGAAAACAAGTCTCCCCACCTCCTCCCCTGCCCAGCAGTTAGGGTCCATCAGCTGTAGCTGTGAAGAGATAAATATGCACGCTGAATGGATGCATAGAACTTTGTCCCCACCACCCCCCTCCTTCTGTAAATGCCCTTCAAGGGTTTCTGTGTCAAGGATTCTAGCGGTGGTGACACTGTCAGATACAAGATTTGCTACAATTAACCGAGGTTCTTTAAGGTACAAAAAGAGAACAGCAAACACTCAGCATTAAAGAAGAAATAAGCAGAAACCCCCATTTATTTCAATTACATTTTGCAGCCAGCCCTATGAACATACATGGAAAGTGGGATATATCTATCTAGCCCTCATTATTAGCCATTTGCAGACTTCACGCTTTTGGCTCCATTTGGCGCTGTCATTAATTAGGTGGTATTAACCTTAGAATGCGTTAGAGCTTGCCTATTGAAATAACTTTGGGCACGCTTTTTTCTCCCTCCCTCCCTTTGACTTGCAAGTGCTTATAGCTCGTTATTAAAAAACTGACAGTATTTCTTTGACCAGGCGGCAGCAGATGTGAACCGTTCTTCTAGTGGTAGCTACAACCCATGAAGGAGTTGTCCTCGTTACACACAGCAGAACATCTCTGGCTGGCCACGTCAGGTAGGGCCTTGGATTGGTGCCTTAGAAATGATGGTGCTTGGGTGCCTGGGTGGCTCAGTTGGTTGAGCGACTGCCTTGGGCTCAGGTCATGATCCTGGAGTCCCGGGATCGAGTCCCGCATCGGGCTCC